GGGGCGCCTGGGTGGCTCAGTCAATTGGGCATCTGACTTCAGCTCAGGTCACCATCTCGCCGTCTGTGAGTTCAAGCCCCGCGTCGGGCTCTGTGCTGACAGCTCAGAGCCTGGAGCCTGTTTCAGATTCTGTGTCTCCCTGTCTCTCTGACCCTCCCCTGTTCATGCTCTGTCTCTCTCTGTCTCAAAAGTAAATAAACATTAAAAAAAAAAAAAGACTTGAAGTCTTTTTTAAAGAGTTACTTTTTTAGAACAATTTATTTTTTTTTGTTTTGAGTTATATATTATAAGGCAACATCATAGTTACTTTGCCATTTGAAAATTTAATTTTTAAGACTATTATTTTAGATTTAAAACAAATTTGAGAGGAAAGTAGTGAGATTTCTGTTATATCCCCCATATCCACCCATAGCTTCACCCATTATCAATTTCACTCACCAGAATCGTACATTTGTCACCACAAATGAACCTACACAGATAACATCCTAATCACCTAGAGTCCAGAGCTCACTTCAAGGTTCAACTTAATGTTGTATATTCTGTGAGTTTAGGCGAATGTATAATGTCATATAGCCATGATTATACAGAGTATCATACTTCTATGAAAATCCTTTGTGCTCTGCCTATTTATCTTCACTTCCTCCACCTCTGGCAACCCCTGATCTTTTTATTGTCACCATAGCTTTGTTAGAATGTCTGATAGTTGGAATCCTACACTATATAGCCTTTTCAGTGTGTCTTTCCTTTAGTAATATGCATTTAAGATTCCTCCATATCTTCTCATGGCTTGATATCTTATTTTCTTCTTGTGCTATTGTGTCTTTTAATAAAAAAAATTACCTCAGGGGCACCAGGGTGGCTCAGTCAGTTGAGCTTCCAACTTCGGCTCAAGTAATGATCTCACGTTTCATGAGTTCATGCCCCGTGTCTGGCTCTGTGCTGACAGCTCGGAGCCTGGAGCCTGCTTGGGATTCTGTGTCTCCCTCTTTCTCTGCTCCTCCCCTGCTCACATGCTGTCTCTCTCTCAAAAATAAATAAAGATTAAAAAAATTAAAAAACAATGACCTCAGAGCATTACCACATTATGTTATCATTATATTTTATTAAACTTCTATGTATGTTGTGGCTGAGCCACCCGTGTTATCCTCCTAGAGGTTCTTGGTGCTACTGAGTTGGAATTTCTATAATTTTCTCAAGGGAAATCTTGTACAATTGTAAGAATTACTCATAGGTATATCATATTTTGATGCTATTATAAGTAATACTTTAAAATTTTTGGTTTGTGTCTAGTTGATAGGAATAAAATTTATACTATATATACAAACATGTGTGCAGGTATACACATACATATTTGGGTTCTTCTGTTTCCAGTAACTTTGTGAATCTCTCATTAATTCTAATTTTTATCCTTAGATTCTTTTCAATTATATATATCATTTTAAAATAGTGTTGTAATTCAGCTACAGTACTTTTGGTTTTGTTATTTTTCTTCCCTTACTGGAATAGAAGCTTGAGTAAAGTGTTAAACAGAATTTATAATAAATAATATTCTGAAATTCTTGATTTCAGTGGAAATGGTGTCAATATTTGATAATTAAGTGAGATGTTTACTATAAAAATTTTTGTAATCATTATTAGGTTATGTAAACTATCTTCTATTTGCTAGCTTTATAAGCCTTTTAAAATCATTAATGGATTTTGAATCTTATAATGCATTTGCTACCTCTATAGGAATAATTATAAATGAGTATATAGCTTTATATTTTTAATTAGTTAATACAGTGAATTACTTGAGTGGCCATGTAATGTTTAAAGACTCCTGCATTCCTGATATAAATAAAATGTGATCACTATATATATATATATTAGGGGCTTCATTTTCCAATAATTTAGTAATATTTTTGTGTGTATATTCTTGAGTTTGATTGGTCTCTGTTGTCCTTTAAACAATAACTTTTTCAATTTTGTATAAAAATCATACTAATAATATGAATTGTAGAGTATTATTTCTCTTCAATTACCTGGAAAAACTTGTATAAAATTAGAAATATCTACTTCCTTAATTATTTGTAGAAACAACTAGACAAAAAATCTGACTTTAGAATTTTATTTGTATTTTAATATTGCTTCAATTAAAAAAAATCAGTACAGTTAACAAAGTGTTATATTACTTTTAGGTGTACCATATAATGATCCAACCATTCTATAAGTTACTCAGTGCTCATCATAATAAGTGTAATCTTAATGCCCTTCACCTGTTTCACTCATCCCCTCCACTCACCAGCCCTCTAGTAACCATCAGTTTTCTTTCTGCAGTTAACAGTCTATTTTTCAGTTTGTCTTTTTCTTTGTTCATTTATTTTCTTAAATTCCACATATGAGTAAAATGTCTTTCTCTGACTTACTTCACCTCTTAGATCCATTTATGTTGTTGCAAATGGAAAATTTCATTCTTTTTCATGGCTGGATAATATTCTATTTTATATAATAATACAAATATTATATATAAACATAATAATTTAAATAATATAAATATTATTATAATATAATAGTCCTTCAAACACAGGAATAAACTCACTTGATCACAGCAAATAATTTTTTAATGTATTATTGGATTTGGTTTGCTAATATTTATTGAGGATTTTCCATCTATGTTCATCAGAGATATTGGCCTATAGTTCACTCTCTCTCTCTCTCTCTCTCTCTCTCTCTCTCTCTTTCTTTCTCTCTCTTTGTAGTGTCATTACCTGGTATTGGTATCAGAGTAATACTGACTTCATAGAATGAATTTGGGAGCTTTTCCTCCTCTTTTATTTTTTTGGAATAGTTTGAGAAGAATAGGTATTAACTCCTTTAAAAATGTTTAGTAGAATTCACCTGTGGAGCTTTGGTTTGTTGGGAGTTGGTACTGGACTTTGGTTTGTTGGGAGTTGATTCGTGATTCAATTTGATTGCTGGTAATCAGTCTATTCAAATTTTCTACTTCTCCATGATTTGGTTTTGGGAGGCAATATGTTTCTAAGAATGTATCCATTTCTTCTAGATTGTCCCATTTGTTGGCATATGTTTTTTTTCCATAATATTCTCTTACAATCCTATGTATTTCTTAGTGTTGGTTGTTATATCTCCTCTTTCATTTCTGATTATTTTTTATTTAAGTCCTCTCTCTCTCTTTATGAGTCTTGCTAGAGGTTTATCAATATCATTGATTTCTCAAAGAACCAGCTCCCAGTTTCACTGATCTGTTCTTTTGTTTTTTAGTTTCTACTTTATTTCTGCTCCAATCTTTATTATTTCATTCTTTCTACTGGTTTTGGATTTGTTTGTTCTTCTTCTTCTAATTCCTTCTAATTCCTTCTAATTCCTTCTAGGTTGTTTATTTGATATTTTTCTTGCTTCTTGAGTTTGTCTTCTGTATTGCTACAAACTTCCCTCAGAATAGCTTTTGCTGCATCCCAAAGATTTTGGACTGTTGTATTTTCATTTTCATTTATCTACATGTATTTTTATTTCCTCTTTGATTTTTTGGTTGAAGCAGTCATTGTTTAGTAGCATGTTATTTAATCGCCATGTATTTGTGTTTTTTCCAGATATTTTCTTGTGGTTGATTTCTAGTTTCATAATGTGTTTGGAAAAGACGCATGGTATGACTGAAATTTTTTTGAATTTGTTGAGACTTGTTTTGTGGCCTAATATGTGATCTATTCTGGAAAATGCTTTATGAACTCTTGAAAACAATGTGCATTCGGCTGTTTTAGGATGGAATGTTCTGAATATATCTGTTAGATCCATCTGGTACAATGTGTCATTCCAAGCCACTGTTTCCTTGTTAATTGTGTTTGGATAATCTATCAATTGCTTTAAGTCAGGTGTTAAACTTCCCTACTATTTTTATGCTACTATCAATTACTTCCTTTAAGTTCATTATCAGCTGCTTTATGTTTTGGGTGCTCCCATGTTGTATGCAAAAATATTTACAATTGTTATATCTTCCTGTTGGATTGCTCGTTTATGGTTATATAGCATTCTTTATTTTGTTACACTCTTTATTTTAAAGACTATTTTGTCTATATAAATATTGCTACCCTAGATTTCTTTTCACTTCCATTTACATGATAAGTGCTTTTCCACACCTACGCTTTCTTTTTTTAAAAAAAATTTAACGTTTATTTTTGAGAGACAGAGAGACAGTGCATGAATGGGGGAGGGGCAGAGAGAGAGGGAGACACCGAATCCCAATAAGGGTCCAGACCCTGAGCTGTCAGCACACAGCTCACCTTGGGGCTCAAACCAATACACCATGAGATCATGATCTGAACCAAAGTCGAACCCTTAACTGACTGAGCCACGCAAGCGCCCCACCACACCTTCACTCTGAACCTGCATGCATCTTTAGGTTTGAAATGAGTCTCTTCGAAGCAGTGTATAGATGGGTCTTGCTTTTTTATCCATTCTGTCATCCTATGTCTTTCTATTGAGGCATCTAGTACATTTAAATTAAAAGAATCAGTGGTAGTTATGTGGTTATTACTATTTTGTTACTTATTTTATGATTGTTTTTGTAGTTTTCTGTGTTTCTTTTTCTCTCTTCACTCACAGTTCACTGGCTTTCTTTAGTGATATACTTTGATTCTTTTCTCATAATTTGCATATCTATGAAATTTTTGACTACCGTTTGGTTTATGTAACATCTTATGCATATCACAGTCTATATTAGGTTGATGGTTTCTTTTTTTAAACTTAGTTAGTATGTATGTATGTATGTATGTATATATGTATGTATGTTAGTTACTTACTTAGTATGTATTTATGTATGTATGTATATATGTATGTATGTCATCTCTACACCAACTATGGGGCTCAAACTCATGACCCTGAGATGGAATTGCATGCTCTACCCACAGAGCCATCCAGGCACCCCAAGTTGATGATTTCTTAAATTTGAACCTAGACTAAAGCACTGAATTTTTAGTCCTCTCCCCTCCTATGTTTTAGGTACATGGTATCATACTTTACATCCTTTTATTTTGTGAATCCCTTGACTGATTTTTATAACTATATTAATTTTATTGCTTTTGTACTTCCTACTTATTTTACTCCTACTTATGGTCCCTCTTTTCTATGCAAAGGGTCCCCTTTAACATTTTTTGTAGGGCTGGTTTAGTGGTCATGAATTTCTCTATTTTTTATTTGTCTGGGAAACTCTCTCTCTCTCCTATTTTGAGTTATAGGTTTGCTGGATAGAGTACTCTTGGTTGTAAGATTTTTTTCTTTCAGTGCTTTGAATGTAACATGCCACTCCCTTCACCCCTGAAAAATTTCTGCTAAAAAATCAGATGATAGCCTTGTGGTGTTTCCCTAGTATATAACTTTTTTCTCTTGCTGCTTTTAAAATTCTCTCTTTATCACTACATTGCCATTTTAATTACTCTGTGTCTTGGTGTAGACCTTCTTGGGTTACTTTTGTTGGTGTCTCTCTGTGTCTTCTGGATCTGGATTTATGTTTTCTTCCCCAGATTCAGGCAGCGTTCAGCTATTTCTTCAAATAAATTTTCTGCCTCCTTTTCTCTCTCTTCTGGTATTCCTATAATGCAAATGTTATTACACTTCATGTTGCTGCTGAGTTCCTATCTTCATTTTCTAATTCTTTTTTCTCTCCTGTTCATCTTGATTGCTTTCCATTACTCTGTCCTCCAGGTTATTGATCCATTTTCTGCTTCCTCTAGTCTACTATCTATTCCATCTAGTGTATTTTATTTTATGTTATTATAATTTTTTTTAGTTTCAAGTTTTTATTTAAATTCCAGTTAGTTAACATACAGTGTGATATTAGTTTCAGGTGTAGAATTTGGTGATTCATCACTTACATACAACACCCACTGTTCATCACAACCACCACCAATTTAATCATCTCCATTAATACCTATCACCAATTTAATCATCTTCCTGTCCATCTCCTTTCCAGCAACCCTGTTTGTTCTCTGTAGTTAAGAGTCTGTTTTATGGTTTGCCTCTCTTTCTTTTTTTTTACCCTACATTCATTTGTTGTGTTTCTTAAATTCCACATATGCATGAAATCATATGGTATTTTTCTTTCTCTGACTTATTTGCTTAGCACAATACTTACTAGCTCCATCCACATCATTGCAAATGGCAAGATTTCATTCTTTTTTATGGCTGAGTAATATTCAATTGCGTGTGTGTGTGTGTGTGTGTGTATACCATCTAGTGTGTTTTAAATTTTAGTTATTGAATTCTTCATCTTTGATTGGTTCTTTTTTATATTGTCTCTTTGTTGAGGGTCTCACCGAAGTCCTCCACTTGTTTCTCAAGTTCACAGATATCTTTATGAGCATTACTTTAAATTCTTTATCAGGCATATTACCTATATCTTATATCTGTTTAATTTAGCTCTCTTGCTGTGATTTTGTTGTTACTTCATTTGGGACATATTCTTCTGTGTCCTCATTTTCTCTAACTCTCTGTGTTTGTCTCTATGTGTTGGAAAAGTCAGCTCTGTGTCCTGCTATTGAAAGTAGTGGCCTTATGAAGAGGAGGTCTTGTAGTGCCCTGCAGTGCAATGCCCTCTGTTCACCAGAACCTGATGCTTCAGGGTGTCTGATACATGTGTTGCATGAACCTTACAATTGTGGCTAGCCACTTTGCCTTTGGTCCAGTCATCTGCAGTGGATCTCACTGTTGTGGTCAGGGTTTGGGCCTGTGTGCTGTGTGGGCAGGGTTGGGCTTAAGTCAGACCAAGAGTATGTTAGAGATGTACTAGCACCAAGCTGCAGGGCTCTTTCCTTGTGATTTCTTCTGAGAAGCTTTTATTGGTGGATGGGTTCTGAAGTAATACCTGATATCTGCCCCCAGCTCACCACTGGGACCACAGTTGGACTGGTGTGTGTAGTTTCTTCCCCTTTCACCAGGGTAGGAATCTCATTGGAGTGGTACTGTCCTCTGTCAAGGCTGCTTGCACTCTGCCAAGCTTCTGCCACTGCTTTGGATTGTCTCCTGCCAAGGGTTGTTGAAGGGGGCAGGTCTGAAGAATGCAGGGGTGGGGCAAATGATGCCAGCAAGTTCTCTGAGGGTCTGTTGTGGGAGGGGACCCACAGCCACCCGAAAAACCTCCAGCAAAGCCTGTCTGGGTTGGTGGAGGGGTGTGGATCTGCAGAAACCTCTGGGAGTGGGGTGTGCTATTAGCAAAGCTGGTGGAAAGTGTTAGCCTGGCACTGGTACTCACAGGTTTCTGTATTTCTAGGCTGGGGGATGAGGGAGGGAAATGGTGCCCACTATCTCTTTTGTTCTTGAAGTCTCCCAAAGATCCCTACCTCTCCAGCATATGCACTGAGATTAGTAAGTGAATCTTCCCATAAACCCCAGACATTTTTCAAACTGCTGCTTCTGTGCTGTATCTGCATGGAGTTGTTTGTTGTGCTGTCTCTTTAAGGGCAGGGATTCAGTTGCCTTGTCACCCCCCTGGATCTCCCAGAGCCAAGCCTACTGATTTTTAAATTTCTAGGTGTTAAGCCCCACTGATTATAAGAATTATAAAGCCAGGCCTCTCTGGCTTTCAAAAACAAATATTATAGGGATTTGTCTTCCCTGTGTGAGTCCCTTATGCCTGGTGTTGGGTCTGCTCCTCTCCACTCTCTGTACCCACCACATCCCTCCCTCCCTCAGACAGTTCTGGGGGCCCTTTAGTTCCTAACCACTTCTCTGCCCTTCTTACTTTGTGATGTGGCCTCCTCTCTATATTAGCTATGGAGACTCAGTTCTGCCAATCTCTATGTCATTTTCTGGGTTACATACACTGATTTGGGTGTTATCTAGTTGTATCTACAGGATGAGGTAAGCTTAGGACCCTCCTACTCTGCCATCTTCCCTGGAATATTGCTTCAATTTTTTATTGTTATTAGGGTAACTCAGGTTCTCTGTTTCCTTTTATATCCATTTTTTAAAATTTGCTTATTTGTTTTATTGTCTGTGGAATAATTTGGTGGTGAAGAGAGCTATCTATAATTCTACATCTCCTCATTGAAATTTCAGCTCTGATATTTATTAGCAATATCATTGGTCAAGTTATTTAATTTTCTATGACTCAGTTACTCAATATCTAAAAGATATTACCTTACATTGCTGATGCAAATTTACACTAGTATAAACATTTTTGAAGACTCCTCTATAGCTGTTGTAACATTAAACTAAAGTTTTTGTTATATATATACACACACACACACACACACACACACACACACATATTAGAATAACATGTAGAAACATGTAGAAGAATGTAATCAGAGCTTTATTTATGATAGTCTAATGTTGAAAACATTCCAAATGTCTTTGTACTGAGAATGGGTAAAAAAAAAAAGTGTGGAATATTCATAAAATACAATTCTACACACCAAAGAAAAATGCCACACTACTAATACACACAGAATAGGTGCATCTTAACCACAGTGAGAGACAGAAGCTAAATAGAAAATAATACACACACACACACACACACACACACACGAATAAAAAAACAGAAAACAAAACAAATAAAAGATACAAAATAATACTAATCATTGCTTTATTTATATTACTTCAAAATAAGCCAAACTAATTTATGATGATAGATGTCAGGATAATGATTACTCTTCAAAGGGGACACTACTGGAAAGGGCACAAGGAAATGTTCTAAAATGACGGAAGTGTTCTAAATCTTGATCTGGGTGGCAGTTAAATAGGTTTTTACATATGTAAACATTTATTTAGTTGTACACAGTAGATTTGTGTAATTACTGTATATAATATATACCTGAAAATTTAGAGTATTGATACGAGGTAGGTAATTAGAGAGGCCTGGGTAAAGGATGTTTTTGAATCAAAAGGACTACAACATCCCTGATTAATCCCTATCCTGGGCTGTCCAATATGTAGCTGTTTGTAGCTATTTAAATTTAATTAAAATTATATAAAAGTAAAAATTTAGTTCATCAGTTGCTCTAGCCACATTTTAAGTGTTCAATAGCCATATTTGGCAAATGGACAGCAATTCTAACATAGATTAAAATGTTTTTATCATTGAAGAAAGTTGTATGTAGCCAATAATCTTGATTACTATAGTTTTAAATGTAATATGCTCTAAGAATTCATTTTTAAAAAGTGAAACATTAATTTAATAAATCTATGTATGTGAATATCTACCTATATATCACATATGTATGTATATATATGCAATTTGCAAACTATGAGCCAATGAGTTTATTAATAAATTTCAGCAAAAATTAAAGAAATATTAATTAAAATACAAGTAAGACAATTTATTACCAAATCAGAAAAAACAGACAACTCACAATTCTTTGCTAATAAAAAAGTACATTGAAATAACGTTTTTGGAGAACAATATTCCAATATATTGAAAGCTTATCCTTCAGGCTTGTGCCATTGGACCCAGAGAGTTTAATTCTAGTAATGCATTTTAAGGATCCATATTAATTTATTTCTATATAAAGATTTAGCACTAAATTTGCTCATTGGTTGTTTTAAAATGGAAAAAAAAATGACTTAAATGTTCCAATAATAGATGTGTTAAATAAATTATAGCTACACAATTGCACATAGCTACACAATTGAATATCATTCTGGAATTAAACCTAACATTTAGAAATATAATGTATACTAAAGACTTGAAAACTTGAATAAATTAAAATATTTTAAATATTAAAGAACATAAAACATTAAGGTTTTTTTTTTCTTTTAATTTAGAGATAGAGAGCACCTAAGTGGGGGAAAGAGGCAGAGGGAGAGAGAGAGAATGAATCTCAAGCAGTCTTCACCTCAGTGTGGAGCCTGATGCAGGGCTCAATCCTATGACCCTGGGATCATGATCTGAGCTGAAATCAAGAACTGGACAACTATACTGACTGAGCCACCCAGGTGCCCCAAAGCATTACGTTTTTTAAACTCAAATAAATCTATTTAGTTGCTAGTCTCTAAGATGGTTCTTAGAGCAATCTTGCCTCCTGGTATTCAAGAAGGGTCGTCCCACACTGAATCACAGATAAGATTGTACAACCATGTGTATATGACAGAATTATGGTTCATGACATCCAAAGTTGGGTCATAAAGGCACCCCATTTTGGTCTCTTGGATTGCTTGCTCAGAAAAAAGCTCGGGAAAAACCACATGACATGGATAGAGAGATGATGATGATGATGATGATGATGATGATGCTAGATGATAGGTGAAAATATTCATAATTTCTTTCTAAAAACGATGGATTTGTATATGTAAAGTTTCCACTGATTTCTGGACCATTTTGGAGACCATTTTGGAGAGGTTAAATAGGGGGAGAGAAATCAGATTCTGAAGGCTGCAAACTGTTAAGGATTTGGTTGCTTTTCCCAGTATAATGTGAAGACATAGAAGAATATATGAAGCAACGTAGACATGTTAAGTTCACTTTTTTGAATTGAGTAAACAATGTATAACATTGTCCAAGTTTAAGGTGTGAAATGAGTTACTTTGATACATTTATATATTGTAATGTGATTTCCAATGTAGCAGTGTTTATCACATTACATAATTATAGCACAATATTGTCTATATTCCTTATTCTGTACATTAGGTTTCTATACCTCTTTTACTAGTTACAAGTTTGTACCTTTAAATTCAATCAATCTTCTCTCCATCTCCCTTTCTCCTGGTAACCACCATTTTACTGTTTTTTACAGGTGTAACTTTTTTAGATTCCACATATAAGTGATATTATATGGTACTTGTCCTTCTTTGTCTCACCATGCTTGTTATAATATGCTCAAGATCCACCCATGTTGTCACAAATGGAAGAATATTTTCCTTTCCCATAGCTGAATAATAATCCATTGTGCATATGTACCCCATCTTTTTTATCCATTTATCCACTGATGGGCATTTAGAATGTTTCCATATCTTGGTTATTATGAATAATGTTGTGATACACATAGGGATGTATGCATCTTGCCAAAATTCTGTTTTTATTTCCTTTGGGTATAAATCCAGGAATTGCTGGATTGTACAGTATATTCATTTTTAATTTTTTTAAGTTTATTTATTTATTTTGGGAGAGAGAGAGAAAGAGCGAGTACAGGCACAGGAGGGGCAGAAAGAGAGAGGGAGAGAGAAAGAATCCCAAGCAGGCTCTGCACTGTCAGCTTGGAGCCCAGTGAAGAGCTTGAACCCACAAACTGTGAGATCATGACCTGAGGTGAAATCAAGAATCAGATGCTTAACTGACAGAGTCATCCAGGTGCCACTATTTTTAATTTTTTGAGGAACTTCCGTATTGTTTTCCATAGTGGTTCCAATTTACATCCCCACCAACAATATATAAGGGATCCCTTTTCACCACATCTTCTCCAGCACCTTGTGTCTCTTGTCTTCTTGATGATAGACATTCTAATATGTGTGAGGTAATAACTCATTGTGGTTTTGATTTGCATTTTTCCTGATAATTAGTGATGTTGAGTATTTTTTCATGTGTTTGTTGGCCATTTTGATGTTGTCTTTGGAGACAACATTATTTGTTGTCACTGTTAGTGAGTTAACTCAGTTTTTTACGTATTTTGGATATTAACCCTTTATTCAATATATGGTTTGCAAAAATTATCTCCCATTCTGTAGACTGCAACACAATAATTTTTGAGTTAAAGAAAAACAAAAAACAAAAAACTTCTCTGAAAGATTAGGTTATAGCTGAACAAAGAGGAATGTCAAGAACTAGTTATTTACCTAAGAGAGAATCTTCATTTTATGGTGGACACAGATGAAGCATTTTCAATTACTTTTTACTGACACATGGCCAACAACAAACAAAACTTTATTTAACTTAAAAATATTAAAGCTTAATATAGTTTTAATAAAAATAATTTTTAACAATATATAGATTTAGGGTATTAATTTTGAGATATCATAAGTGTCTTAATGATGAAAAATTCAAAATAACAAATTTATAATACTTAAAATACAGAGAAAAGGGTAATAGGTTTCAGAATTATGTTGCAACAAAAAAACTTTTGTTGATTAAATTGCTTTATAATTTGATGGTTTATATTACAGCTATGACTGACAAATATTTTTAAACAAATGTAAGTTATTTCTGTTTTTATTATAGTTTTTTTCCAGAGTAAAAAATATATAATATACACTATATATCAAACAATAATCTAAAAAATAATCAGTTAAAAAAACTTACCTCATTTGGATTATAAATTCTCAGTGAATATTTGTGGTGGGTTTGTCTTGTTTTTTGATACATTATATCTATTTTGTCTTAAATCTTCTTGTCTTGACACCTGTGTCTCTTGTTAAACTTGATAGTGACAAGGGTGTCTCAGGTCATAAGATAATTAGAAGAAATCACTAGTCATCTAGAACAAAAATGTTTCTGAAATAAATAAAATTGTGAGGTGGAATCAGGATAAATATAAATAGCAATTATTTGAGAAATAATTATAATAAATATTAATTCATCATCACTTCCATGCTGCTGCCTCCCTTCTGCAGTGAAAATTGTGTGGAATGTTAGGAAATCAGTCATAATGAAGTAAAGTTGGTTTCAGTATCCAAAAGCATGTGATCCTGCACCAGAAAATAACACACTCATTATATATGAATAATCCAGATATATGAGTCATTTGGGAATGCCAAAATTGGATTCTGAATGGTGATATGACCAACAGAAAAAGCATTTGGAAAAATGAGCTAATCAGACTATAAGAAATTTTGTTATTGTCTGGCCACAATCCTTCTCTCCTTTCTCAGAGAATCAGGACTAAATATTATTAAGAGTTCCTAAAAGCATCTGGATCTGCTTTTTGGGTAATGGAAAATTAGATCATCCATAAATAATCACAAATAAATCTTACCTTATAAATGCAATTAAAACTGACAGATAAGTGTAAGTGTAGCCCCTAGATTATAATTACGGAAATAGAGTATAATTTTATTTGCTCTAAGACCTGATCATTTACATGCTTCATGTAGAGATTATGGGGTTGGGAAGATATCCTTTACACTACAGACGTTTCTCAATTATAAAACTATTTTCATGAGTTTCATTAAAATATTCTTTAAAACAATGCCAGTCCCTTAAATATCTTGCATTAATAATAAAGTGTGTTTGTGCACATGCATTGCATGGTCATGCTAGGAAAGGATATGTACTAAGATAAAAGTAAAGCGTTTACTCTCCTGCCAAAATTATATGTCTAGAGACATCTTAATGTTTTTTAAATTTTATTCACTGTGGGGGAGAGAGAGAGAGAGAGAGAGAGGTGACTTGAGTGGGGGGAGGGGCAGAGAAGAGGGAAAGAGAATCCCAAACAGCACAGAGCCAATGTGGGGCTCAAACCCTACAAACTATGAGATCATGACCTGAGCTAAAATCAAGAGTCAGCCTCTTAACCAACTTAAGCCAACCAGATGCCCCCAAATTTTAATTCTTTTAATCCTGTAAATCTAACTTTGACTTTTGTCCATTATTCATAATCTATCCATGTGCACAAATCCGTGTGTATCCATGTGTACATTATCTACGTATATCATGGTCCAAATGTTTCCCTTAAACTCCAAGAAAAAAATGAGTTTGTATGTCTCTTACATTGAATGATATATTTAAGCTATAATATTAAAATAATATCTAATAATAATAATAATAATAATAAACAGATATCAGTTGTGTGCACAGCTCACATCCAGTCATTGTATTCTGAGGAATTAAGAGATGGAGAGGAAACACTGAGTGCCCAAGAAGGACTAAGATGACATGTGATCAGGTAGCATTAATCCACATTATTCAATCAGTAAACATACATAGTCCATCCAATTATTCTGAAAAAAAAAAAAAAAAAAAAAAAAAGTTAAAGGTTATATGTTACTCCAACCCTGCTGCCCGGCAAGAGCTGTAATAGAGACCAAGGAAAAAGATTTGTTTCTGATACCTTTCCACTAGGTAGCTAAAACTTATTAAGAATTGAGGTCTCCTGTCCTCTATTTCATTTTTCAATCCAGTTATAATTATCATTTAACTTAAAAATACTGATTCAAATTAGGTACACTCATAAAAATTTTGACTTTTTCTTCATTTATAGCCATGAGTTCTTTCCACTGTATATAGCCATCTTCATATTTATTTATATTGCAATGAAGTTTTTCTGATTGACCTAGTCAATAGTGACAGAATTACAAAAATATAGGCTGGCAGAGACATAGTCATTTCAGTGGTATCATATAAACACATATAAAGCCTAGGTGTTGTGAAATATTTATTGGGTCAGAGAAGTTGTGTAACTAAGAAAGTTCATTAAACACTAAATTTTCTTCCTTAAGTTTTTGTTTCCCTTGCCAACATTACTGACAGTATATATTCTATGGTGGTAATGAACAAGTCCATTTCAAACTACATCTTCTGAGATAGAAGATCTGCAACCCTAGGTTGAGCTTACCAGAAAAAAATCAATTTATAATGAAAAAAATTAGTGCAGTCATGTGTTGGGAAAGATGGATTCGATGTACAATACCCCATTCTTTCTACTAAGAACATTAAAAACTTGTCATATTTAAACAAATGTAAGATGACTCTGAAAGGTAGGGAAAAGAAGACCAGCAGGCTAAAAACCTGAGGACCTGAGAAACAACATGGCTCTGCATTTCCTGGGTTTTCACTTTCCCTCATGTATTATGCCAGCCTGGGTGATAGAGAAAGTGGCAACTCAGAAATGCCAATAGGCATAGACAAAAAAACAAACAAAACAAACCCTGCCAATAAAAGCCTGCTTTCTCTAGCCAAAGTATGAGAAAAGGGCAGCCTAGCAAGAAGAATGCTTTTAGACAATAATTGCTCTAGTTCTGCCAAATACTACTGAAAAAAACTGCATCCCAACACCACCTTCTCCAGAAAAGCTCCATAAGGAGACTAGACTACTCTCATCAGGCTGCAATAAAGCTTCCAAAATTTCCTTTCCTGCAAGGGTAGGTAGAGGTGAAGAAGTTGCGGGGGGTGGGTAGAAAGGAGGGAATGATATTAAAAAAGGTTGAGTATGGGGTGCCTGTGTGGCTCAGTTGGTTAAGCATCTGACTTTGGCTCAGGTCATGATCTCACAGTCCGGGAGTTTGAGCCCCGCATCGGGCTCTGTGCTGACAGCTTGGAGCCTGGAGCCTACTTCTGATTCTGTGTCTCCCTCTCTCTGACGCTCCCCCATTCATGCTATGTCTTCCTCTGTCTCAAAAATAAATAAATATTAAAAAAAAAACAAAAAAGATTGAATTGACTGATGGTAGCTACACTTGTGGTGAGCAGTATAATGTATAGAGCTGTGGAATCACTATGTGGTACACCTGGACCTAATGTAACATTGTGCGTGAGCTATAATTCAATAGATAGATGATCGATAGATAGATAGATACATAGATACATACATGCATACATACATACATACATAAACAAATACATAAGTAGATACAATAAAAAATGTTTGAGTTTAGTGGGCAGGATTTTCATCCCCATCAGGCAGTAATAACATACCCTGTCCATCCCTGCCATAGTGGTATCAGAGGAGGCTTACTCAAAAGTCAAAAATTTCACACTCACTCATAAGTAAGGCCATTCCTCCCACTATGGTATTAGTGGAAGCCATGTGGGAAGTAGTATAAAGGTACGGTTCCCCTCCCAGGAAGTGTAATATCAGCGGAGGCCTATTGGGAATCTGATTTTCCACACCAGGCCACTAATAACATGGAAACCCTCCCCACTTTTCCCTGGGTGGAGACGTAGAGTTCTACCCTGATCTGGCACAAAGAAGCACCTTCCTTCCCTGGCAGAAGGGTGTCAGAGAAAGACCAATAAAATAGATGCTTTAAATGATTTCCAGAGTGTCATAATACCCAAGTAATCAATTTTCAGTTAAAAAAATCACTTATCATACCATGAACCACAAAAAACTTCAACTTGAATGAGAAAAAGAAATCAACAGATGTCAACACCAAGATGACAGAGATGTTGAGAATTATCTGTAAAAGATTTTAGAGCAGTCATCATAAAAATGCTTCAACTAACAAGGAAGAAAATGCTGGAAACAATGAAAACAATGTCTTAATTTCAAATAAGAAAGTCTCAACAAAGAAAAAGTCTCAGCAAAGAAATAGAAAGTACAAAGAAAAACTGAAATGAAATTTTAGAAAAGAAAAATAACCAAAACTAAAAACTTAATGACTATGATCAACAGCAGAATGGAGAGGGAAGAGTAAAAAATTAGGAAACTCAAAGATAGAATAATATTACCTAGTCTGAACAACTGGGAGAAAATAGACTGGAAAAACAAAAATAAAAAATAAACACAGATCCTCAGGAACTTGTGGGAACATAATAGAAGATCTAATATTTCTGCCACTGGAGTCTTGGAAACAAAGGATAAAGAGAGAGGGACTGAAAAAGTGTTTGAAGAAATAAGGATTGAGAATGTGTCAAATTTGGCATAAGATATAACTTACAGGTTCAAGAGGCTCAGCAAATCCTAAACAGGTTGAACCCCAGAAAACTTATAGAAGATAAATCATAGTAAAACTTTTGAAAACTAAAACAAAAACACTATTTTTGAAAATAGCACACAATACATGACTCTTTACTTATTGGAGAAAAACAATTTGAATGAGAGTAGATATCTTATTAGAGACCATGGAATCCAGAAAGAAGTGGCATATTTTTCAAGTGTTAAAAGCAAAGAACTGTCAACTCATACAATTCCATAGTCAGCAAAAATATACTTCAGGAATAGGGGGAAAATAAAGACATTCTCAGATGAAGAAAAACTAAAAGAATTTATTGACATAGGGAGAGATCAAAGAACAACAGAAAGAGTAAATATATGGGTAAACATAATAAAGTTTCCATTTCATCTTGAGTTTATAAATTATTTTAATGGTTGAAGCAAAACTTATAATATCATCTGATGTTCCCCATGTATGTATAAAAAATACTTAAGATAATTATACTACAAATGGGAAAGTTAAACAGATTTTAAGGGACAGAAGGTATCTACACTTAATGTGTAAAGGTAAGATTTTGAAACTAGTATACTATGACAAATTTGGTATATACACTGTAATACCTTAATAACTACTAAAAAGGCTATACAAAGAAATACAGTGAAAAATACTATCATAAATAAAAATGCAGGTCTAGAAAGTTTTAACCTGTGTAAGGCGGGTGGAAAGAAAATAGAAACAAAAAACAAAGGGAACAAACAAAAACAAAAATAACAAAATGGTAGAATATATCCTGGTTTATAAATTAGTAAACTAAATATAAATGGCCTAACTACATACATTAAACAATGTAGACTGATAGAGTGGATTAAGAAAAAAATGACCCAGCTATATACCGTGTGGAAGAAACTCATTTTAAATGTAAGAATATGCGTAGTTTGAAAGTGAAAGAATAGAGAAAGATATGCCAGGCAAACATGAATCAAAGGAAAAAAGAAGGGGCTCCATTCCTATCAAATAAAATACACTTCAGAGCAAAGAAAATCACCAGGGACAGACAGGTAGAGACAAACATTACTTAAGGAGAAAAGTGGTAATCCATTACGAAATTATAGCAATGGTAATTGTGCATGCATCAAACAACAGAACTGTAAAATGTGTGAACCCAAAACTGATAGAATTAAAAGAAGAAATAGACAAAAGTAAAATTACAGTTGGAGACCACATCATCTCATAACATTAGACAGAACAGTAGAAAAATGGCTTGGTCAATATTCAAAAATCAATTAGTGTAATCTTCCATATTAATAAACTACAAAACATAAAGGTCATATGACATCAAGTGATGCAGAAAAAGCATTCAACAAAATTCAGCATCCATTCAGAAATTAGAAATACAGTAGAACTTCCTCAACTGGATAAATAGTATTTACCAAAAAACCTTATAGCTAATATCACACTTAATGGTGAAAGACTGAATGCCTTACCCACAAATCAGGAACAAAGCAAGGATCTCCACACTCTCCACTCCTATTTAATCTATTACTGGAAGTCCTAGCTATCACAATGGGCAAACTGAAATAAACACAAACAAACAAATTAGCACAAAGAAATAAAACTGAAAATTGTTCCTATTTGTAGATGAAATAATGGTTGATGTAGAATATCACAAGAAATGTACAAAATTAACTTGTTAATTTAATTAACTCATAAGTGAGGTCCATCGTAAGACACAAGGTCAAACATAAAAATTAATTGAATTTTTTCTTTATAAATTTTTATTTATTCATTTTGAGACAGAGAGAGAGAGAGAGAGAGAGAGAGAGAGCGAGCACATGAGTTGGGAAAGGTCAGAGAGAGGGAGAGAATCACAAGAAGGCTCCACGCCACCAGCACAGAGCTGCATGTGGGGCTGATCCCATGAACTCTGAGATCATGACCTGAGCCAAAATCAAGAGTCAGATGCTTAACCGACTGAGCCACCCAGGCACTCCCCAAAATTAATTGTATTTCTATATATTAATGATGGAAAAATGAAAACTGAATGCAATGCCACTTACATATGTTCAAAATAAAAGTAAAATATTTAGGTATAAATCTAATAGGAAAGGACTTATATGTTGAAAACTATACAATGTTTTTGAAAGAAGTCAAAGAAATTTTAAGGAAATGGAGTAATATGCCATGTTCATGGATTGGAAGTCTCAATACAGCAAAGGAGTCAATTTTCCCCAGACTGATATATAGTTTTAAAAAAATTCCAGTGAAAATATAAAAATGTTTTTTGTACATATACAAATTATTATAGATTATTCCAAAATATATATCAAGAGGCAAAGGAACTAGAATCATTATAACAATTTTGATAAAGATGAATAAAGTAGGTGGAACCACTTTGCCTCATTTGAAGACTTATACAGTTTATAATGATTGAAAATAGTGAAGAGACAGACACAGAGATCAAATAAACAGAATAAAGAACCCAGAAATAGTCCCACACAACTGACTTTTGAGAAAGGAACAAAAATAATTCAGTGCAAGAAGTACAGGCTTTTCAAAAATAATTGGCATAATTGGACTAATTGAGTATCCGTAGACCAAATAAAAAAATAAAAACAAAAACAAT